AGAGGAAAGTATCTTTGAAGCACACCCTCCCGCCACATAAATTTCTGTGAATGAAAGGTACTGAGATTGCACAGTAAAAGTCATATCTGGAAACATCCTGAATTGCAAGCGTTTTCCAGGGTAATCTGTTCTTTGCTCCTCAAACTCCTGTGCATGTCTGCATGAATATATTCAGATTTTTCTAACTAACTACTCTGGACATATTGGACATGGCATACTCTGTGATCTCATTGTTTGTTCAGTGCATTTCCACAAATAGTACTCATGCCTAGAAATAAATAACTCCATTTGGTATTATTTTAGCTTTGGATCACTTTATAAGACTTGAAACAGTTTGATTTTTGCAAACATACAAGGTGGCCCAAAACACCCTTCCTCAGTGTGAGACCAAATAGAGCAAGTATTTATTGTTGTGTCACCTACTTCATGAGGCCCAGGTCCTAAAAGTCTTCCTATAACTAATGTAACAAATGGCTTAAACATCTATTTACACTTGTTCTAGCATGGCTGTCTTAGGGCACAGGCTTGTGTGTTGCCTTCTGGGTTTTCAGGCTGCTTTTTCTCTTGTGTAGTTTACAGTGCTTTCTTCTTTTAGGCCCTAAGTGAAGAAATTAAAGCAATGCATGGACTACGGATTTTCACTTCTGTTCCCAAGTGCAGAAGCTAGGACTGGCTAATGGCCCACAGGGTTTGTGACTTTCAGGAAGTGGAGGGGTGCTCAGAAGATCCCTCTTGGCACATGATGAAGTCAGGCGCTTGTATTTCCACCCCTCCCCCATGCTTCCCCTGCTCCCCAGTCATACTGCAAATAAAATTGTGCTGGTGTACAGTAAAACCAGGATACCAAAGATGGGTTTCTACAGTATTTATTTCAAATGTAGAAGTTTGCTCTCTTAATTGCATAGGTTAGCTTTCCCCCCAGTAAGATGGGTCTTCGCCTCTTTATAAAAATCCTACCAGCAGTAGTAGAGCCAAGAGGAAAATGGAGTATGTTGCAGAAAGGACTAATCGTACTCACAGAGTTATTGTGTTTCCCTTTTTTTGTCAATGTATGTCACAGGGCAGGCAGAAGTCACGGATGAAATGTGATGCGTGTTTTTGTTGGATTGGTTGCAGGCCCACAAGTATAGAGATGACTATAAGAGGGTATCGGTCCCTTGTGCTCAAGAGATTGCTTTAAACTACCAGTTATGTACACTAAGGCTTTCTAAGGTTAAATCAGTGCAGGTTTATTAGCTATGAAGAACAGGTTATTTTTTCCTTGTGTTCAGAAGGTGCTATACCATCTGGTGTGTTTAAATGGCAGTTTGCTTCCTGAAATGTCAGATATTTCTTGGTAAAGAATATTTTGTCAATGAAGCAGTCTAATTTCTTCCAGGCTAATTGTAAAGCACTCTGTACTTTACAACTTTTTCTAGTTCTCCTGAGAACACTCAGCACTGCACATTTCTATGAAATAGAAGGCACAGACATTAAGCCAATTGTATATATTAAGAGTAACATTTATTTAATGTTCAGCATATAAATTGCAACAATATAACTTATTTTTCTCTTTCATTAAATACAGTTTCCCCTAATTTAGCAGACCCAAACAAGGGTGAAAAAGTAAAAAGCCCCTAAGAGCAGGCTTGGACTGTGGTCAGTTGTCAAATAATATTCTTTGAGTTCTGATCATCACCAGGTTAGGATGAAATATGGGATATTAATGTTGGATACCACTTGCTAAGTGATAAATGTTACCGAATGGCTATCAAGGGTGGTGGGGGAAGATGCAAAAGTGGAGCTTAGAAAACTGGCATTTCAATCCTGTTAAGAGAACAGATGCTTCCACCTTGTGTTTTAATGCTATAAAAGCAAAATATGGTCTTAAAACATAGCTTGTGTTGCATTATTTATCAGAGAAAAATAAGAGCACTCCCTTCACATCGAACATAACATTGCTATCTTGCTAAAAAGTTAGGCTTTGTTATGCTGCTTGGTCAAAAAAAGGCAAACATGGTCATTAAAACTTACACCATCTGTATTCATCATATTGGGCCAACCATCACAAAATAGAATGCGAGCATTTAAGTTCACCAGCACTCATAATCGGGCTAGGTAAGGGGTGGGCAGCTTGTGGCTCTCCAGAAGTTGTGGCCTACAACTCCCATCAGGCCTCATCACTGGCTGTGCTGGGTAGGACTTGGGGGAATTGTAGGCCAAAACTTCTGGAGGGCCACAGATTGTTCCCCAGCTCAGAAATGCACTCATTTTGGAGCCTGCCTTTTATGACCACTTTCAGGTGGAATATGGGAGAAGGTGGCTGTCATTCACATCAGTCTCTGCTAGGTGCAGAGCAGGTATTTCAGGATGCACCTGGAAGACTCTCTCTCAGACTTTTGGAAGAAAGCACAGTTGCTCTCCTATTTTTGAAAATGTAAAATACAGTTACCAGGAACTGTCTCCATCCTTTGTGTAAAATGTGTACATCCCTTGGAAGGTGGAGAGAACCCCCCCCAAACTGTTGTTATATTAAGAAAACAAGAAGCGTGGTGTGTTTAGTGAAAATGTCAATGGAAATCAAGCTGGGTGGGGCATAGAACAGCCTTCCCCAACCTGGACTCCTCCAGATACGGTGGGCTATGGCCCCCACAATCCCCATGCCAGCTAGGATTTGTAGTTCAACATATCTGCGTGGACAGAAATTGGGGGATTTTGCTATCAAGCAAGTCCCATCTTCAAGTGAGATAAAATCCTCTTCCTACAGTATTCTTGTAGGTCACATGGTACATACAGTATTCTCAAGATCACAGAGAAAGTACAGAAACGTTGCTTGTAAGAAATACCCCAAGGTCTGTCTTAAAGCCTGGTTACCTTTATTGGGGTAACCAGGCTGGGATTCTCACTTCCACAGCAGCCAGACCTGGGCGCACAAACGCCAGAGTGGCCGGTTTGCTTGGCACGTCACCGTGTCTTGCAATGAGACATTCATAGAATCATAGAAGAGCAGGTTTGGGAGGGGCCGGGGATGCCACTGGGTCCAATCCTGCTAGTGCCGGACACCAAGTCGCACCACCCCACTCCGAGGGCCGCCCAGTCTCCTGGCAGCTGGCTCCACTGTTGTGTTGCTCTGACAGGGAGTCTTCCTGGTGTCTAGCCTGAATCTGCTGTGTTCTGGCGTACATTCATTGTTGAGATCTTTTCCTTCCTCCTCGTGGCAGCTGTTGTAGAACACTGTTATATTCCCTCTCAATATTCTTGAGAGCAAACATGCCCAGCTCTTTAAGTCTCTCCTAGGGCATTCGTTTCCAGACCCTGGATCATCTTTGCTGCCCTCTTCTGAACCTTTCCTATTTTTTCTGCATTTTTAAAAAACTAAACGGCATTCTAGGTGAGGTCTAACTAGTGCACAGTAAATGCAGTAGAGTGGTATATAAATGTAAAATAAAAGTGTTTGGAGTGTGCCCATCAGGGAGAGAACATATTTTGCCTCCTGTCTTCTTTTCAGCCTCTGAAATGTGCAGGGCTTTTTGGGGGGTGGCAGAAGAGGTTGGCAGCTGATGCCTCCTGCCTCAGAGTGGCCCTCTACAAAACACCTGCCGTTAGACCTGCTGGTCTGGTTTAGCAGGAAGTATTTAAGATGTAAATCTTTAGAAAACCTTTTAATTTTTTTCCCTTTTGCTGAGGGAAGAGTTAAGTAAATAGCGGATCTTAACGAATTTTACTGCTTTAAGAACAGGTCTTCCTTTATATTTAGTGTGGCTTGTCCGATGGGTAAAGCAGCTCTGCTCCGCAGCTGAGCCAGGAGGGCCCTCGGCTGCCCCGTCGCCTCCCTCGCAAGCTTCGGCCTTACGCAGCACCAGCTCCCGCTGGATGGCTGCAGGGAAGCAGGGCGCCCCGGGGGTTGTACCGGTTCTCCGCCTGGTCCCGCCTGCACCGCCGGGCTGGCCCGAGGCTAGGAGAGGCCCCAGGCTGCCCAGCTCAGGCACGGCTCTGAGGCCACACTGCCGGGTCCCTCGAAGCACCACCGCCCCGGGACCGCCTCTGCGGAAGGGTGCCCGCCGCTGAGGCCCGCGCAGGGCGGGTCATGCCTGGCGGCGGGGCTGGGCCCCGGCGGCTTCTGCCTCAGCCGCCCGCCTGCAGAGCGCGATCCAGCGGCCGAGACGCCGCCGCGCGGGACGGCGGCGTTTGGGCAGTGGGAGCAGCGCCAGGGCGCGGAACCCAGGCGGGCCCCGCGAGCCGGGCGCCCAGCGAGGCCGCTTCCCGGCGCCGCCGCGAGCCGGCTCGCCACAGGCCTCGCAGGCCTTCCCCGCCGCTCGCTCAGGCACCCCGCCGGCCAATCGGGCTCCGGCGGACGTCCTCTTCGGCCTTCGTCCAATCAGCGCGGGCCCGCGCCTCGCGCGGATCCCTTCCCACCCAATGGCCTGCGAGCGGCGCGAGGGGCGGGACAGTGCCTTTATAAGGCGCTCGCAGCGGGGTCTACGGCTACTCCCTCCGCCAGCCGGCAGCTGCCCGCTTTCCGTCGCTATGGCAACCGCCGGCTGCCCGCTCGCGCTGCTCCGGTTCTGCGGCCAGGCCGCCCGCGGGCCCCGCGGCTGCCGCGCCCTGCCCTTCCCGCGGGGGGCGCGCGCGCTGCACCGCTCCGCTCCCAGGTACGGTATGCGCGCGCGGCGCCCGTCGCGGGGGACGCCCGCCGGTCCGTCCGTCCGCTGCGCTCGCTCGCGCGGGCGGCGCGGCCCTCGGAGGCGGCGCGGCGCGGCGAGCGAAGGAAGCCTCGCGGGCGGGGAGGTCCCGCCGGCCGGCTGCGGGCTGCTGCACGGAGGGCTGCCGGCCGGCTGCGGGCTGCCCCCAGCGGCGGCTCGGGGCGCTGCAGGCTGATGAAATCCTCCGCGCGGCTTGCACGGCCGCCCCGCGGCAGGCAGGGCGTGGCTGGGGATGATGGGACTGCATTCCGGCTCCGCTGGGGTCCAGCGCTTGGAGGGAGCCCGCGGGCGGTGCGCAAGCGGGGACTCGAGCCAGCCCGAGCCGATCGGCTCCTTATCGGCCCTGCCCGGCTGGGCGCCTGGAGAGGCTCGGTGCCCGAGACCGACGCCGTGCTCTGCGGAGAGTGGCAAGTGCGACGAGCGGGAGACGGGATAGTACTGCACTCGTCCGTACTTGACATGCTGTGTCCAAGAGGAAGGGCAGGATATTGTCCCAGAAACGCGGGCTCAGGTTACTGGACGCCCGGTCCTGGCTGGGCCTCGGAAGCACGTCCCGACCGCCGGCTCGGTGGCCGTGGAACCCATGGCCTGGCGAGGCGGTGGGCGCTCCCACGCCGGAGGCGTTCAAGGGGCAGCCGGACAGCCGTCTGGCAGGCGCGCCTGGGCTCGAGCAGGGCCGGACCTGATGGTCTTGGCACCCTCTGCTAGCTTTACTCTTCTATGTCCTGTTAGCTGAGGAGAGTTCCCTCGCACACAATATATTTCAGCCTCCAAGAGACAACATCTCTGTAATATTTGAAAAAATAGTGGAGCTGAGAAAACAAGGTATAACATCGGCCTTGAAAAGCTGCTTGAGCAAGGCTCTCGGTGCATTTTTCTTGATCGATGAACAACAGCCAACATTCGCAGTAGCAGCACATTCCTTACTTCTGGAGCTGTGCGGATTTTGCCCAAAAAGTAGAGTGCTGGTTGTACCCAAAGCCATGTAAATATGCTGATAGTGCCCAAGCTGTGTGATGCTGTGGTCGCTGCACGCAGAATCTGCTGTGTTCTGTTTGAGTGCAACAGAAAGTCCCTTTGTTCAAAGAGTTCCTCTCATGCAACTTTGCTAGACAGTTACATAATGCTTTGCAGCAGCCAGTTATCTTGGTGTCAGAACAGTTTTAGCATCTTGGGATTCTTGCTGCGTTGCATCAGTTCTTAGCTACGGGGCAGAGTGTGTGCTTTGGACCACTCTGTCGTGCTTTTGGGCCACGCCTTTTGTCTGGCTCCTGTGAGAGAGCAGAAATTGATTCAGCTGGCTTAATCACTGGCTGAGCTAGCCTGGGACTGGCTGACAGCCACTCCTGCTTGGGAAGACGGGATAGTGCAGTGCTGTCATGCCGAAGTATGTCATCACTTGGACCGGCGAAAGGCAGAAACTTCAAAGCAAGCTTATTGGCAGGCATGAGGCGGTTGTCATTTCTGGGAGAAAGCTGGCACGGCAAATCAAGCAAGAAGCCCGTCATGAAGTCGAGCAGTGGGTCGCCGCTGGTAACAGGAGACCTCACCTCAGCGTGGTTCTCGTTGGCGAAGACCCCGCGAGTCACTCCTACGTGCTGAACAAAACCAAAGCGGCAGCCGATGTAGGTAAGCCTGCACACTGCTTTCTCCGACTGGAGTTTGGCAGTAACCTTGCAAGGAAGAAGATTTTGGGTGAGCATCTGGCGCCAGGTGCCTTTTACTTAACGATCAACACCAGGGAAGTGGGGCTGAGGTCAACCGTCTGCTGCTTCTGCATCCGCTCTTGCTTTGCATCCCTTCCTAAGAAAAAGGAAGGATCCAGTGGTACTTTAGCTGCATGGCCAGCTGCACAAAGCGGGCGGGGAATCCAGTGTGGCCTAGCAAGAGGGCCTGTGTTTTGCCTGGTGCCTTTTCAGTTGCTCACAAACTGTCCGGCATCTGCTGTCTTATCTGTGGCTTTGCTGCATTCACAATAACAGTAGTATTGTATTATGTTTTTTAACCGCACTGTGTGCTTCACTTCTACATCAGCAATTATTTCACAGCTTACAAGAGGGAAGGCTCAAGCAAGATGTAAAGTCCTAAGCTAAAACTTTACAAATATAAAAATTTAAAAATTGCCTCTTTAGCTACTGCAGTCACAGCAGAGGCGCGAGATCTTTGATTGTTACCATGCCCATTTGGCAGCCAGCAGATGCCACAAACCAGACAACCGTTTTTTAGTGCGCCGCTTCTGCAGCCTCCTGGCTTGTGGACAGTGGGCCTCGTGTGTGCTTGGCAGTATTCACAAAAAGTATGCGTTATTTGCCAGCTCCTGTATTTCTGGGTTCATTAGCCAGTAAGCGTTTGCACAGTTTGTGGACTTTGGGATAGAAAATGCTCATCAGATATGAAGTTTGTAGGTGCAGTGTTCAGTTGCGGTATTCCGTATAAAGGTATTCTTACTTCACTCACGTGAGTATCGGAATAAAGAATGGTGGTCCTAGAACAGCGGTGGGGAAAATGCACTTGGATCACTTGAAGAGCCAGCGTGGGGTGCTGGCCGTTCCTTCTGTTTTGCCTGCTTTTACCCAAGTCTGCTAACTCTTCCAAGGAAAGCTTCAAGATTTTTGTTCCAATCAGCTGTTTAAGTTTAGTTTGCAGTGCCAAATATTTAGCACCTCCAGTTTGCACCCTGCTGTTCCTGCTCTGTTTTCAAGAATGCTGTATTCTTCAGAGGCAGGGCCTGCCATCAGCCCTTCTCTTTTCCTCCTGGAACTTACATCGGAGCTGTTCCTGGTGGGTTGAACTACCAGTTTCAGACTCTTTCTGAGCCTCTTATTCCATGTGAAGGGTCGGATGCAACTTCGCAACTAGCCACAGCAAGCAGCGTTCCATGTTTGGTTGTTTGTAGGAATCAGCAGTGAAACGATCCTGAAGCCAGCCTCTGTGACAGAAGAGGAGCTGCTGGATCTAATAGCCAGGCTGAACCAGGATGCCGGTGTGGACGGGCTGCTGGTGCAGCTGCCTCTGCCTGGTAAGTGCATCTTGGGGGAACTCGGGAAGGCTCCCCCTGCAGGTGCCCCTTTGTGACTTGTGAATAAGCTGCAGGGCCGGCAGTGGGAGCCAGACTTGCGCTCCTCTAGTTTGGCGGGTAATTTGCCAGGAAAGAAATGCATGTCATCTACATTTAGTTAGTAGAGCCATACAATACTTTTTTCTTTTTTATGAAAAACTGAAAGTGGCTCTCATCAGTTTTTCTTCCTGCTGTCAGTCTTACGGCCACAACAACCCTGGGCTTCGAGTCTGACTGTCCCAACGTTTCCCAGTTCGCTCTAGGGCTGAGCTGAGCGGTACCAGAACCCAGGCTGCCCGAGTCCCACATCCCCGTTCTTAGCCACTATACCGCACTGGCTCTCCTGTCAGTCTCTAGTGTGGGAGTCTTGTTTATTGCAGGTATCAAAGGACCAGGTTCCGTTAGAAAAACGCCTCTTTTAATGTCCGTATGTTAGCGTCTTACTCCCCGTTCTCTGCAACAGTATGGATGAAATCCTTCTTTTCTGTTCTCCCAGAACATATCGATGAGCGAAAAGTCTGCAATGCCGTGCACCCCGAGAAGGATGTCGATGGCTTCCACGTTGTGAACGTGGGCCGGATGTGCCTGGACCAGGACTCCATGCTGCCAGCCACTCCGTGGGGCGTGTGGGAGATCATCAAGCGAACCGGTAGGAGTCGCATGCAAACCCCACTGCCGCCCGAGGTCCGCCAAGGGAGTGCCGATCCTCACGGGGTGTGCGCGTGTGCTACATTGCAGGAATCCCAACTCTGGGCAAGAATGTGGTGGTGGCGGGTCGGTCAAAGAACGTCGGAATGCCCATTGCGATGCTTTTGCACACCGACGGCAGGCATGAGCGGCCTGGAGGTAAGACTGGGCTACTGCCAGATCCATCTGGCTGCCCACACCTGATGTGCTTAATTGCTGCAAGTTGTTCTTGGGGTAGGAAGGAGAGTGTTCCCTGACTTGAAAGCATGATAAGTGCTGCAGAAGGCACTGTAGATTGATGCTCCTACGGGACTTTCCCCAGTTAATGCACCCAAGGAGCGGGGACTTGCATTTCTTCTGTAGGTGCAGCCCTGTGCCCACTTCCATACTCCGGTTGGCTTTCAGAAGCACACTGAGAAAAGTGGTATGAGCTTTCCCAAATGGCACGGGACCCACTTCTGTCTCTCTGTCGGCAAAAGCAACCTACTTTTTGTCCTTCTGGAATATGGATTTCCCTGCAGTGCTGAGAGATCGGGGGTGCTGCCCCTCCTAGAGATAATGCGAAGAATAGTGCAGATGAAGCTGTCCCACTGGGGTGAACGAGGGAGGTGGGAAATGTCCAGAGGTAATGCCGTCCTCAGACCATCAGTTCTGGGGTTTCTTGTTGTCACTGAGCCACAAACCGCACATCAACTTTTCTACTTTGTGTTAAGTTGGTGGCCTTCCCTGGGGTGTGCCTGCTATAAGTTGCAGTGTGTGGATTTAATTCTCTGCTAGAACCCTGAGATTCCCCCCACCAGCTGCTGCTCCAGAGCTTGCCTGCTGCTAGACTTGTTTCCTTATCGTTGAAGACTTCTGAGCCCTGGGATTCTTCTGAGCAGAGAGCTCTGTCCTTCCGCGCGTGAATCCCGCCCCACCCCACTCTCCGTACTGTGTAATTCAGCGGTGCACGGTTGGCCCTTTGGCTGCGGCTCCTCGTTAAGCAGCCTCCTCACTGGGAACTGTGAGGGTTGGGTCGCCCGGGAGGCCCAGGGTGCCGCCTCACTGTAACGGCTCTTTCCAGGGGACGCAACCGTGACCATCTCCCATCGCTACACTCCCAAAGAGCAGCTCAAGCAGCACACAATTCTGGCGGACATTGTGGTTGCAGCAGCAGGTAAGAGCACCTAAGGAAAGGAGGTGGGAGGCCAGATGCTCGGGGGCAGCGGGCGGGGCATTCCTCAAGGGGCAGTGCCACAAATAGTTCCGGGGGGCTTCATGTAAGATTTTGATACCGGAGTCTCTGCCTGGGAAATTCCACAAGTCCCTTCCGGCAGCTGCCCTGCAGGCACACGGGATTGGTTTACACACGTGTGTGTGGTGGTATCTCACTGAGGTCTCAAACTGAGGAGCAGAAACGGGCCTTGAGTTTTGTAGCCGCAGGGGGTGACTTCCGGTAGCTTTCTGTCATACTAAACTGCTCCCTTGTAAATTGCAGGCATTCCTAACTTGATCACAGCTGATATGATCAAAGAGGGAGCAGCCGTGATCGATGTCGGCATAAACCGAGTTCAGGACCCTGTAACTGCGAAACCAAAACTTGTTGGAGATGTAGATTTTGAAGGTGAGGAAGCAGATTGGTATCTGCGAGGTCTGGTGAACAAGATTTCCCATGCCCTGCACCACCTGGTGTTTCTTGTATTGAGCAAATAAAGTATTTCAGGTATTTCGGGGGGGGGGGGGGGGGCAGCTTGGGACAGGCTGTGTTTGTTTCCCAGAAGGCCATAAATGAGCTCAATGCAGAAGACCTCCAGTCCCTTAACATGCTGGACTGGTCCTCCCAGTAACTTCTGTGCTGGTGACCTTCTGTGGCCTTGCTTGCGAAACGGATGGCAGGAGTTCAGTTCTTAAAAGCAGGGGCATAAAAGTGTGCCCCACGCATACAGCTTGCCATTGAGAACCCTCCTGCAGGCTCCAGCTCAGCTGGCCTTATCTTGGCTGTATATGGCATGAATAAGCAGCAGTTCAGATTGGTCAGCAGAGAGGTGGCTCCCTGCCCAGAATTTCTCTGGTGTCAGTTATAGCAACCGGGGAAAACGGACGCTGCTCGACAGTTGTCTTCCCGCTCTGCCCCTCTGCTGTTACCCTAAAGCACGCTGCTCCTGCCATGGCCCTTGCGCAGCAGTGTGTGGTTCTTGCACTCTCCCACTCCACTCACGAGCAAAGCCGCTCTCGCGCCTCGGCCCCCAAATCCAACCCCCGCCCAAGAACAATTCACAGGACTAGCATCTGCTTTGCGCAGAGGAAGCCTGCTCTCCTCCCGGAACCTTCTTTGTCACACCCTTCCGGGATCCTGGCTTTGGCCCTTCAATCTGTCCTGTTGCTGAGGGATTCTGGCATCCCGCTCGGCAACCTGGACCTTCTCAGGAAGAAGTCAGGATAGGAACACGCACTCCAGGTTGCGCTTCCTGTGATCAGAGACAGTAAATTCCCTAGACAGCTTGGCGGCCCCCTTGGCAGTTAACCTGTGCTATTGGCCATCTAGCCCATGAGTTTCATGTTGTCATTTTCTTATAATATTTACCACAGCCATGGCCACAAATTTCCCAGACTGCTTGTAAAAGAGAAATGTGGAGACTAAGCAGATTCCGCAGAACATTAAGTGTGTCCATCTGCACATAATGTACGACTTAATTGCTGGGAACTGTGCCTTCTTGGGGATGTTCTGCCCCACTGTTTTGGTCTGCTGCAAGTGAGGCTGCCTGCAAGGTGTGCGAGGTGTTGGATTCCGGTTGCCCGCTTGGCTCGGCGCTACCCTCCTGCCTTTCTCTCTCCAGGGGTTAAGCAGAAGGCCAGCTACATCACCCCAGTTCCTGGTGGGGTTGGCCCCATGACTGTTGCCATGCTCATGAAAAACACCATCATTGCTGCGAAGAAGATGTTCCGACCCCAGGAGTTCGAAGCACTGAGCGTTTAATGTTGGACCCCTAGTGGTCACCAGCGACATTCCAAGTCGCCTCTCAAACACAGGCTAAAAGCAATGCAATATTTATTTATTTGATGGAAAGCTCATCAAAGAATAGCAGAGGCTGCTGGAATAGTTGCACCCCAATGCGGAGCGTCTCGTGCAGTGCATTATGTTTGGCAGCTGCCATTTAGACTGCTCTGTTGCTGAAGTGCAGGAGCTGAAAGTGTTGCTAGAACAGCAGGCTGGATGATAATTGCTCAAAACCCAGGAGGGGAGGGTAGCAGAAGGCCAAGAACTGGTGTGCAGAGGACAAAGTTTCCACATGCACTTAATGCAGTGACAGCTGCCCAGTGCAAACGAAGCTCTGAAGATGCTCTGGCATTTGCTGGGATTCTGCAACAGCTGTTCTACAGTCAGATGTTACTATTTTCTACAACAAATTATTTATATGACTTTTGTAGCTCATCAGCCTAATTGGTTCATAGCTTGTTTCAGTACTCATTCCACACAGTTTTTAAGACAGCCAGTAGTTAGATAAAATATCACAATCCAAAGTGGGGTTCTACATGCTTATTGAAGCTTGCTTGGTATTTACGCTGGCCGCTAGTGACTGCTGCAGATTGTGTTGGAATAAAGCGATTCACTTGTAAGCATCTGAATCCTCTTGCATGCTCTGGCAAGGCTGATCTTAAGCAAGGGGAAGAAGGCAACGTTTTGTATTTCGTTAGTAGCAAACAGATTCCAGAGGTGTGAATGTGGTTGGGGCGTCTAGTTTTGTTCAAAGTTCTGCTAGAAGAAGGGGAAAGGAGGTTTTGTTTTTGTGTATGGAACTGTCTGTGTGCCCCTCCCCACATGTCTTTAAAGAGCAAAAAGATGATAGTGCTAGTGTGACCTATAAGCTTGAAGACCAAAGCACAAAGCAGGAAAACTGCAAATTTGAAGCCCTTCAGCTTGCAGTTTGATAAGCTTCCAGGTGTTTGCTGACAGATGTATCCATTATAAGACTACACCAAAGGATGCCGTTCAGTTAACAACGCTGGCAAAACGTGAAGCCCAGCACACCGGAGTCTCTTGCACCTGCAGCAAAATGCTGGACTGGCTTCTGATCCTGCAAAGTGAAGCGGGTTAGCCTGAGCACACCACAAGCAGAGGAGCGTCATCCGTTTATTAGAATATATATTCCTAATGTAGAAACAAACAGGTAGCACTGTAGGGACTGCAAATTCATTCTTGTGGAAACCAGTAGGGCGAGTCTATGCAGTTGTCTATAAAAATGGCATTGAGAACTGCCGTGCTAAGTAGCCAGGAAGTGGGATTCAAAGACGGTGCAAGCCCAGATGTGTGGGATGCTGGGCGTCTACAGCTGCCCTTCTGATTTGCACCTCCTGCTTGCACAAGGTTGTGAAAATGGCCTAGAGGTTGCTAATGCCTACAGCCACGGCAGTCTCGGGCTACTGCTTCGGATGGTCCTGGTTGGTACAAAACGAGTGAGGGAAATATACAGAGGCTTATATTCAAGTTCGAGTGGTGGTTACCACAAAGAGCGGTTGTTGCCCAAGCTTAGCACTGTTGCATTTCATCTCTTTGCATTCAACAATTAATGGTACTTGATCCACGTAACATGATCAATGGCAGAACAAATTCAAGTTTTTCTTTTGTTTATCTTCACGTCAGTATTTACAGAGTAAAAAGGAACCGGCATCTGTCTCACACTAAAATTTAAACCAGGTGCAATATCTAGTGGGCCAGAGCCTCTGCACCTAAGAGCCCCTTTTCCACAGTGAAGTATGTTTTTTGGGCATTTCAGCTGGACTCCAGCTTTCTTTAACACTGCGGGACAGGAAGGAACCTGTGATTAAGTGATGTATTATCAAGCTGCCCTGTCTTTAGAAGGGAAACCCTTTAAACCTGCATGGTTCAAATGGACCGGGCAGCATTCTCTTTCCAACAAGCAATTGGTCATCTGCCCTAGAGAAGAGGAGAGCGATACTGCGCACGGTGAATTTGTCTAGGTTTTGCTGGGGAGGCGGAGGGAAGGAGGCTGGGTTGCTGGGAGGAACGGGGTCCACTGTCTGCCCCAGCCTCCCCTCCTCTCCCTCCCCGGCATGCAGCCTTTCCCCCCAAGGCCAGGTGAGGGAGGGGGCTGTGGGAGGTAGACTGGGGACTCGGCATCTTGGACCTGGAGCTGGATGATCCTGTGATGATGGACGGCTGTAGGATTGCACCCCAGACACCTTGCATCACCAACTTTCTGAGAGAGAAGTGGTCGAAGAACGCTTTGGGGGAATTGCTATTTCAGTGCTGTCTGAGCACTGCAAGTCTCAGCGTTTGACTGTAAAAGCCCGACTGGTGGTACACTTTAGCGTGACAGCGTGGAGAGACACGCAGGTCCTAAGCACCTTGACGAATGGCAGACGTGGAATTTCTGCAGCTCCTGGCCGGCACGCGGCGGCGGCGGCGGCGTGCCCCTTCTTCCCCAGTGCTGCAAGTGGCAGTCCGGAAGGATCACTTTTCAGCGAGACGTTTCAGCATCACAAGCCTTGGTTTTTGTGTTGTGAGGAGGAAACTGCATCTTTGAAGGTAACCTCCCGAGGCTGTGAGCGCCTGCTGTTGCCCTTTCATTCTGACTAGCCGGCGTGACCTTAACAGGTGTCCACACAACATGAATCCTACTAAAATAACAAGGTGTGGCAGCACAAGGGGGAAGACCTGAGCCTGTTCGGTTTAGCGAAAAGGTTGAGGACAACGCAGCCGCCCTGCGCAGCGTCAGAAACGCCCCTCCCAGAGCACTGTCCCCATTCGAAATCCTGGGCGATCCACTTTATTTCCCTCACCTGCATTCTTACAGTCAGTGCCTGAAAGCCACTTGGTGGCCACGCATTCCTGTCGCTTCTTGGCCTCGGTCCATAAACACCCTGCCGCAGTACGGCGTGGAGGTACGTGCGACCCCTCGGAGATGGAAATCTGACTTTTCTGGCTCCTCCTGGCTTTGTAATTGCTCGACAAGTGATTTTTCTACTGGTTACACACCCAGCTACTGATTGAAGGAAAAAAGACTGGATGTGTTGAGAGATGTCACGGAAACGCACAAGAGTGCTGCAGAAAGTGCTCAGTCCAACTTAGAAAGGCTGCAGCAGCACGCTGGAAGCATCGCACCCGCCTCGGCAGAAGAGGCTGAAGTCCGCAGGGAAGGCGGGATCCTGCATCCAAAATGCTAAGCTGCCGGCAGTCTAATGTTCCTTTGTTTCCAAAGGTTCTGGAATCCAGAGAAACCATGTCTGTGTTGTTCAGGTAGGTCTTAAGCTGCTGACTTAAGAGCTGCCACGTGGTGCCTGACGAAACAAGATAGAATCCCGCAAGTCATCTGGTTTTTAGGTGCTGAATTCTTTAGCAGGAGGAGAGGGCTGGGGCCCCACATCCTCTGGGCTCGGCCACAAAGAAGCACACCCAGTCCTGTTTGGGTAGGGTGGGAGGAGGCGAGAGCGCTACAGGGACTATAGGGTGGTCTCGCTGCCCATGTCCCGAGGGTGTTTTTCGGTGTCAGTATCGTCATAATCTGACTCCATCTCTATCTTCACCTGGGGCACAGCACAGATGGGGTTTCGGGAGTAATTAAAGGCAGGAGAAGATGGGCAGGAAATCTTCAGGTGAAGTGTAATACTGGAAGAAAAGCAGGCAAGGGGAGTTAGAGGCTCATCCCTGGCGTGAGAAGCTTCCAGGCAAGGAATTCAGACCGACAGGTGAGGCCCACCACTTCTCCCTCTCCAAGGCAAGGGGCTTCAGCCACCAACCCGGGATCGTGCCCAGAAGGGTCTCCAAATTCATTTTCCCCTCTTGGTTTTTCTTGACTGTCAAAAGGTGAGCTGTCAAGAAAACGGAAGGCATGAATGATCTCGTCACAGAGGCATTTGCAGGGACAAACCCTGTAGGAAGAGCCTCAAAAGCGGCAGTTTTGAGGGAAACTGGGAGTCCTGGACTGGGGCATCCCAATAAACGGGAACAACATTGCAGCGAGCCCAATGGGGGCGCCCATGCTGCAGTGGTGTCCTCTGGGATACCTGCAGGAGGGACAAAATGGGGGGGGGCTGGGAGGGGACGAAGCACCCTCACCACACCCTGCAGGAAGTGCAGGGAACAACCTGACCCCTGTGGCTTACTGCCAGGGTGGGTCGGTTACACACCGAGGTGCCTATTCTCGGGTGGGTTATTTAGCCTGGACCTGGCTTCACAAACAACCCGTGCTTTAAATAGAAGCCCCACAGAGGGAATCCGCCCCAAGGCAACCTGCCCCATGTTTCCTGTGCTGTGGCTTGGCTGCACCATAAGCACTCAGGACTAGTTTTGGAGTTGCTGAGCCCATGATGGGCTGCTGTCATACCATCCTCACCCCACGGAGTGTCCGGGTTGTGGGTTGTGGGAAGCGGTGAGCGAGCCACTCGGCGAGGTCATGAAAGCCTCTTGCTGAGCTCGCCTGAGCCGTCCCACGGACGCCCAAGCAGCACCTCTTCTGGAATCTCCCTGTGTTCCTGGCGACATGGCTTTGACCTCCCACGGGCTCCACCGGGCCCATCTGGGCTTCAGCCTCTGTGCAAGGCCATGGGCCGGCGTCTTTGCTGTGCTTGTGGATTCTACCTGCATTTGCCTGGCAAAGAAGAGCAGGACACCGGCTCTCCTCGTGCTCTTTCTGTTCAGCGTTTGGCGTCCAAGGGGGGAAGATGCTTCTATCCTGGCTGTGATGGTTTTCTCCAATTCCTGCTCTCCATCAGTTCCTACGCTGGCAGAAGTGATGGGGCCTCCACAACATTGTGAGGGCAGACAGAGCAGAGATCGCAAACTGCTTTGCAAACTGTTCCTCTTTTGTTACCGATTATGATGGAAAGCACAACATTCCTGTTCTCAGCACAGCCTCAGAAATTCACCCCCCTCGTGCTCCTTAAGCAATTCTTCTCCCCATCATATGAAGCCTGTGGCCCCATCCAAATGTGCGAGGTTCAATTTTAAAAAATGGTTAAGTGCAGCTTTTGTTCTGTTAAATGTGCCATTTACCTGCGATCCAGGTCTGAACCATTAGGGGAGGAATCAGAATTGAATGCTCCAACTGGGAGACCTTGTTCCTGGAGGGAAACAGAAATCCTTGTGAACCTGATCCATGGTAAAGAGCAAAATAATACATGAAGAAGAGACCGAGACCGAGGGAAGGAGGAGGTTCAGAATGAAACGCCCTCAGAATCCCTGGCTCACGAAGGTGCCATTGCTCTTGGCCAAGGCGCTTCTGTCCATCACTGATCACTTTCTTTCTGGGAAGAGATTGTTTCGTAAAAAAGGACGCCTTCTGAAAACCGTGCCCAAAAGAAGGCCATCGGGAAAGGCGGCTCCCTCCCACCCGGAAACGTCCCTGGGATACCTGGCACTCGCCCCGCGCGTGACCCCCAGGGCCTTCTGGGACCCAGGTGGGAAATCCAGCCGGCACCCCTCCTTCCGGGGGTTGCCGCCAGGCTCAATCCTCAGACGTTCCCCTGCGGAAGCCTCACTGAGACCAGCAGGACCGGCGCTTTCCCCCATTCCCAGCCTCTAGGTGGGGCTTGCGCCGCGGCACCTGCTGCAGAGGCCGGCCCCGTTTGCACCCGGCTCGTGGCAGGGCCACCTCGGGGGGGGTGCTACTGACCTGGAGCCCCTTGCAGGGGGAGAGGGCACTGTGCGTGCTGGACACAGGCGTGGCGTGGAAGGTCGGCCTGTGCTCCCGGAGAGCCCTGTGCCGCTTGCCGGCCCCTGCCGGCCCCGCTCCGTTCCTCTGTGGGAGAGCCCGCCCCCTCCCCAGCCTCAAGGGCAGCGTGGGCACAAAACTGCGGACACACTCGCCAAATCCAGTGCTGCGCGTCCCTCTACTGTGGCCATGGAGCACCGCCGTGGGATTGCGCGGAGCAGGGTGGCCGTGGGTCGCGCCGCTGCCCCATGCCCCCGGAAGAGGCTGCCGGCCGCGGCTCCGTGGGGAAGGCCCAGCTGGACGCGGACACAGCTCGGGGACGAGGGCCCTCCCTGCAGAGGCTTGCACCCAGCACCTTCTGCTTCCACTCTCACTGCAGGGGCCAGAGCGTGTCGCTTTCGCAGGCCTGCCCCCCGGGGCTTTGCTTCTCCGCCGCCTTGGGTGCTTCACGAAAGAACCCGAGGTGGCATGGCTGCGGCTGAGTGCGGTCGTGAGACGACCGGCCACAGGAGCTAACCCGGCGTCCTCCTAGCTCCGAGGAAGGTGGCGGGCGTGGCTGAGAAGCACAAGGTGGGCCCGGGGGGAGCGCGGCGAGAACGGGAGCCCTGGACAGCCCTGCGGGGAGCGTGAGGGCACCATCCACGGCTCCCGCGGGGCAGCCCGAAGTGCCACACCTTGGGGCATCTTGCGGTGTGCTGGGCGTAAAGTGGGGCTGCTGCTCGCTCGTACGACGCTATGCTGCCGGGACTTGCAGCACCCTGCCCGCTGGAAAGCCGAAAGGGACCTGCGGGTGCATGCCTTACGGGGGAACTGGAAAAACGAGGCACAGCCCGGCTTTCCCTGGAGGTTGAGTGGCGGGGAGGAACGACCCACACGCCCCTCCCTCCCTCCCTCCCTCCCTGCCCCGCTGTGCAGCACATGCTGGAAGCCGCCATGAGAAGTCAAGCTGTGCACCAGCCGGCGGTCAGTCTGAGGCACAAGCTGCGCTGCAGCCCAGCCTGGCGGCCGCGGATGCAGAACACACGCAAGGACGGCGGGGGCCTCGCCCAGCCCCCCTCGCTTTGCCGGCCTTGTGCCGGAGCCAGCCGGGCCCTGGTGGCCAGAGGGTCAAGGCAGCCCCCTCATTTAACACCTGATAGAACCTGAACATGCTACTTACGGGAAACGGAATGGATACGGTTTTGGGGTTCCAGTGGGATTGTTATAACAGAGGGAGTTGGGAACTTGGGCTGGGGAAAGAGAAGTGGAAAAAGAGACCGTGAACAACCCTGCTTGGACAGACACAGTCAAGTTTACCGCTAGGGGCTGGAATCAACACTCGGGCTCATGGGGAATGTGCATGTGGGGAAGGGGTGGCCTCGGGTTCAGCACCCCAGGAGCTGTGTGCGTTCGCACTCTCCCTGCCCTGAGCCCCCCGTGCCAGCCCCATGATGCTGCCACCGCACGCGGGTGGGCTCTTTCCCCATTTCTGTTCTTTTGCAAGCTGCTTTGGGGTTTGTCTCCAAGGGCGCCACGTATAACTCTCGCTTCACGCCACAGGACCCTCGCCGGAAATAACCATCTATGGCAGGATATCCCGCTGTGCAAGCCTAGATGGCTTCCCTCAGGCCGCTGCCCCGACAGCCCCTGGCCCAGGCCTGGAGTCACCAGCGCCTCAGTGGGCTGCCACGTCGCCCACTGCAGATCGTGGGGAGGGGAGAGCAAGCCCCTTGGCAAGAGCCGCAGAGCCCTTTTCCTGGAAAGAAGGGAACACGCGGTTCTTCCCGCTGCCCACGATGCAGGCCCTGCGACTGTGGCACAGACTTGCCCGTCTGTGGACTCGACTCCATCCTGCCTCCCGCTGCCCACACTGCAGCCCCGGGCCCTGCGTGGCTTTTCAGAAAGCCACTGTTCCTGGGCCGAAGGAGGCTCCTGGCCGGAAAGCCGACGCCTCTGCCCCCAAGCGGCACGGACACACCTCATCACTGCTGTCCTCCTCGCCTTGATTGCCTTTCTTCTTCTTCTTCTTCTTCTTCTTCTTGTCCTCCTCTGTCTTCTTATCCTTTTCAGGAATGATATTGTCAATCCACGCCAGGTCGTGCTGGGAAAAGACGAAGTCCAGCATCTTTCGGACTAGAATCAAAGCTAAAATCTGAAAGGAAGAAGCGAGGCATCCCGTAAGATCGCAGTGGGCCAGGCCAGCAGCCGCAGCTTCAGAGCGGTCTTTGTGTGCCCAGCCAATCTAGCTCAGTGAGCCCCCGACTTCCATGAAGGGGCCAACTTGCAGCCTGCGAGTGGATGATTTTGCACCGCACTGGGCGCAACATGCTCAGAGACTGTCTTGAGGTGGGTTCAGCAGTGGAGAGAGCTGGGGGGGGCCGGGGGGGGGGCATTAAAGCCCGCTTGGGCAGTGCAAAGCACGCACTGCTGGGGCGGAAGAGGGAAGGAGCTTGGCTTTTTTACTGCACGTGCCAAAGCAGAAGTGGCTCGGGACGGCTGAGTTTGGGCTTGGCAATTGCCGGCTCTGATGGAATCTGTTTTCGTATGAGCTCTGGGGCAGGGAGCCTCTAAAGCGGGTGAACGCTCTTGCTCGCTCGCTCGCTCACGCTCTCGGGGGCCGAGAGGCGGCCCCCGCTTGGCCATTTGGCACTGGAGCGAGTCGCAGCCTTCCCCGAGCGAGAGGCTGCGGACGGTGTGCCGGGCGAGCGCCTACCATCACCGGGAAGACGATCGCGGCCACAGTGGACTTCAGGATCCAGAGCACGGCCAGGCAGACGATCTGGACCGCGGTGAACAGGTGGATCCGCCGCAGGGGCACGTGCCGCAGGTAGGCGTAGTCGGGCTGGTGCTTGGCTGGCATCAGGAAGAGCTTGCAGCGATCCCAGAACTGTTGGGGGGAAGCAGGCTGGGCAGTCATGCCAGTTGCAGGCGGGGGGGGGGGCTGTTTCTAGACTCTTGTTCCTCCCAGCAGCAGGCAGGCAGGCAGGCAGGCAGGCAGGCAGGCAGGCAGGCAGGCAGGCAGGCAGGCGAAGTGCGGAGCCACTGAAGCCCTCTTGCAGGGGGCTCACAGTCCGATTCGGGCAAGCTGTGGCCAAGTGGCGTGACCCAGGCGAGGGGCAGCCAGCTTTTGAGCCGCACCGTGGCCTTCGGCTTGCAGGGCCGGGCAGTGCCTTTTGGCCTCGCAGGTCGCCGGAGCACCCAGGCAAGCTTTCCGCCAGCACTGCGCCCCCACCCCCCACCCAGCACCTCCCGCAGCTGCCCAGCGTCCTTCGTGTCCTGATCCACGGACCCGTGTAGCTCTTCCGGGCCTGACTGAACTGGCAAGCAGATTCAGATGGCGACAAGGCCATCAAGGCAGCGACTCGCAGTACCGGGACGGTTGCCAGAGCAACTCCTGCTCCTACCTGGATCCCGTTCAGGGAGGCCACGCCCATGTAGAGGAAGACCCCGTACAGCACCGGCATTGGGATGTACTGAGGAGAGAGGAGCGCTTGGTGAGACAGGAAGGACCTTTGGGAGGCAGGAATCCGCTGGTGGTGTTGGGCAGTGGGCCACCCAGCATGGGGCAGCGGGGGCCACGGATGCAGCTGCATGGGCAGGGGCTGGCTGGGGCCGAGGCTCAGGGAGCCGGGGGTCGCCAGGTTTGCCTGTGCACGGCTGACGGTGGCAGGCAGGGGGCCGTACCTTGAGGATGGGTGCCAGGAAGACGGAGATCCCCGTCAGGACAAACACGATGATGCCCGTGATCCTCTGCTCCCTGCCGAAGAACGAAGGTGGTGAGATGGGGCCCTTCCTGAAAGCTCCCTCCGATGCTGCCGCCATTGCCCACAGCCCCCCAAACGGTGCCACCACGGAGGTGCCCCTGAAAATGCGCACCGTGGGTGAGGAGTACCTTGCTTGCCACCATTTCAAGCGAAATCAGGCCACCGTGGCCTTCCAAAGTTTATTTTCCTTTTTGCCACAAACTGGTGGCAGTTCACCCCTTTGTGGAAGTCCTGTTGATTCTTTTCAGCATTTGTTTGCTTGTTTGTCTGCTTTGTAATATATTAAAATCATGCTTTCAATTAGTCTAGCCAGAATAGGCCAGCCAGTGAGTACTTTCCTGGACCCCCCCCCCCCCAATTTCCCCTGGAATTCTCCCGTTCTGTAGCATAAAGCGTGATCTTTGGGATTTTTCATACTTTGTCAGATCAGCTATTCACATTCTACCTCAAGTACTCGAGGATGGACACTACCAGGGCCCAGCAATTTGTTAGAAGATTCATATGATCCAGCTTAAAAGTGCAGGACACAAGCTTAAACTATCACTGTTATAAAAACCATCTAATTGCCCTGTAGAATGAGCAGTTCCTGGGGTTTGAATGAGAAACGGTTGTCAGGAGAAAAGGCAGAAAAATGGGAAGAACAGGCCTGTGTATGTGTAAAACTGTCTCTAGAACAAGAGCAGCAAGATGCAATCAATTAACAGCGTGTGGGGAAAAGCGGCGCATGGAGGGATTTTCTAAGAAGAGGTGACCCTGAGGCAATCGCCATATGAGTCAAGAACGTTGCTTTGAGGTGAGGTGGTGCTTGCGCAGTTCAGGTTTCTGAGGGGAAAGTGATGTCTTCCCACACCTCACAAAGGACTGGAAAAGCGAGCGAAGTCTGCAGCGGCAGTGGGACTCCGGACAGGAGCAGCCAGAGAGCTTTGTGCGGTGCGCTTCCGGCTTCGCTCGCTCCGGAGGGAAGATGCCAGAGCCTCACTGAGCAGAGGCTCCTGGCAGCAAGGAGAAGGTCACAGCTGGGGCCGTCCTGCTACAAGGACCAAAGCAGACGTGTCCCAGCCAGGCCAGTTTGCTGCAGAAGTAGGTTGCTTCAGCCGTGGGGCAAGATGGGAACGGAACGCAGGAGCGACCAGCCGCTGCCCCCCCCCATTCGCCAGCGGGGATCCCCTCTTGCCCGTCCGTGAGGGAAGGGGCAGCGTGGCTGAGCCCAGTCATGAGCACTGCACGGACGCTGCACCGTTAGAGGGAAAGCTCAAAACCATTCAGCTGAGAGAGAGCGGTTTTGCAGAGAGAAGTGTCTGGAAGGTGCCTTCCCTGATTATACGTATTCCTTAGATAAACGCTGCTGTGCTGTGAGAAAGGAAGCTGCAGTTTTACTGAGACTGTTCTAGCTGAACCCACTTCGTCCTGCTCCCCTGCGTGCAGCTCACCAGTAGCCTCTGCCGTGGGGAGAAAGGAGACCCGGGTAAAACCCAGAGCTTGCCGGCTTCTGCTTTGGCTCTCGGTGTGCAGCAGGAGTGTGTGTGCGCCGGAGCAGCACTGCCCCAGAGAGACGCTTGGCCGACTGGGAAGCTGTGTGTAAATTTCTCCCCCTCTCTGCCTGCCTGCACCCCCTTTCCATCACTGCATGCGGTCTTTCCTAGAATTGGTTTGGTGTCATCCTTGCTTATTCCTGAATTTACCCTGCGGCGGCCTTGGCTGGACCAGGCCCCCGGGGCTGGGCTGCATGGAGTCTGGGAGGGACAGGCTACCCAGGAATGGAGAGCTTGCTCAGGAGACTTGCAGCAGGATCCTGTGGGCCATGGAGGCGAACGCGCCGAGGTGGGACCTAACGATGAGGAAGGACAGCTGGCGAAGGGCCTGGGAAACCCCTCCCTAGTAAAGCAGGGGGGTCCCTGGGACAGAAAGTCAGTGACATTCAGTGCCTTTATACTAGTGCTTGAGTATGGGAATAAAACAGGGCACCCTGGAACTCTTGATTCCGCAAGACAGACATGGCTCGATAGGCGTGGCCGGGACTTGGTGCGGTGGAAGGGGCACCAGCTGTTCCAACAGAGCAAAAACCTGCGGGGCCTGGGAGGAGGTGTCCCAAAAGGTAGGAGTGCCCAGAAATGCAAGAAAATTAAGAAGGTGGCGCCTGGGCTAGAGTCAACAGTGGGAGGGATAACAGGCAATGCTGTCACTGGAGTGGGTATGAGTCCCTGAACTGAGGAGGAGAAGAGGGCGAGGCTTTCCCGAGGCAGGTTGAAGATCCATCAGTGCCCTGATAGCCGGTGGGCACGGTCTCCCTGCCCACCTCCTGGCCTGCCTCGCTGGTAACTTGCTTCTTCCAAAGGCAGAGGGGGAAACAAGGGAGTCGCTCGCTCCGGACTTGATCTAGCAATTCCAGGGAGGAAAAAATGGGAGAAGCCACAGGGGCCCTGCCGGGCGCTTGGCGATGCTCTGGAAAGCAAACGGGGGCCATACAGAAAGCCAAGATTGCAGAGAGCCTCTCAGGGAAGCTGAAGAGCAGAGTCAGTAGCAAATGGCAAGAAATGCTAAGAACCCCTGAGGGGGTTCTCAGTTAACCAGCTCCAGATAGTCTCCTCAAAGCGCCTGGCAGCACCTTGGAGGGGCTGCCCAGTCATGTAAAAGAAAGGCCGACAGTGATTCACAACTGCACCTAGACTGTTTTTAAAGCCTCCCAAATCAAAAAGTTTGCACACAAGTTTTTGCACAACAAACCAACCTGGCAAAGACCCCAAGGCGCCCTGGGCCCTTCAAAAAGGGATGCTTGCAGCTGTCACAACAAGCTCAGGGCAGCCTGTGTTCCTGATGCCCCCACGGGTGAAAGGCAACCCTTCCCCCAACACAGCTAGCCTGAAAGGGATTCTGATCCTGCAGGGGTGGGGGAAGCCCACTCCAGCGCCCCCAAGTGCTGGCTGGGCCCTCCAGGGCAGCCAGGACACCTGCGGCAAGAGGGGCAACGTGTCGGGAGCTCCAGCCACGTGGGCCCTGGACCCTGCCAGCCGGAAGGCCAGCTCCAGGTGTTGTGTGCTTGGGAGGAGGAGACGAGGGCAGCATCCCCGGGGACCCGTGGCTGGGCTTGTGCTGCCCTCTCGCCGTGGCGCCGTCGGCCCGTGCTGCGGGGCCATGGTCCCTGCCAGGCTGTGCCTGGGTGGGCAGCTGAGTGAGCGAGGCTAATCCCCTGCCCAGGACCAGGGCCCCCCGGAAGGTGGTCCGCAGGTAGGGGAACGGACCGGGTGACTGCACTGCCGAGGGGTGGGGAGGCTGGACGGGACGGTCAGCAAGATACGTAGGAGGAGGCCCAGCAAACCCATTCTGCAGACTTGTGATGGAATAAAGGAGTCTGCTTCCATCAGCCACAGCCTGTTCCTCCACAGGAAGGCCTGGCCCGGCCTGCCCTCCGACAGGCCAACCTTCCCCACTGCCCGGGCATGGTCGCAGCCTCTGCGAGGGGAAGAGAAGCCCCCCGGGGGTTGGAAGGAGCGCTCACCTCACCCCCAGGAACTGGGGCTGTTCTCCCGGTGCGCTGGTCTCCGTCTCCATCTTCAGGCTGTCAATGTGCGCGATGGAAATGACCGTGGCTGCCACGTACCATGGGAGCCCCATGAAGGAGCACACGGCCATGAGGATGCCCACCCAGAAGAGGTCCAGGTGGTAGCCGGCTGCTTTCTGGAAAAGTCAGGCCTCCGTTAGAGGAAGGGACCGCGCCCGCCCTTTGTGGCCAAAGCAGGAAAACGCGCACCAGCAGAGGGGGGTTGGAGCCCTGATGTCGAGCACTGCCCCACCTAATCTGCTGCAAAGCTGGACAAACCACGACTTTGCATGTAGGGTGGGTGATTTTTTTTCCTTGAAGGTTATCATTACTATTTACAGTCTGGAGACTCTTCTCAAAAGAAAGACTCAAGGTGTTGGACAAGAGGGAGTAAAGCACGGCACAAATCTCAAGCAGCTGAGAACCATCACAGAGAGCACGGCCTGCCCACGCGACGAGGTGTGGGAGACGCACCCGCTGCCCACCGGCGCTTGTGAACGGGAAGGCCTGAGGCGAGGCAGGGGCTGCGGGCGTGCGCCACGGCGCCTCGGGAGCGAGCCATGGGCCGGCGAGCTTGGCGGCCGCTGCACTTGCTCCTGGCCTGCCTGGAGGCCGTGCCGTGCTTGAGGGGCTCGCACCCCAGGGCCCCGCGCCAGGCAGTCCTCCCCCCGCCCTCGATGCAGGGTCCGCGCACGGCCCGGTGGAGGAAAGGCCTGGCCAGCCGTACCCGCAGCTTGTGCTCCTTCCTGTTCACGATGACAGCCGTGATCTGCTGGTCCATGAAGATCAGGATGGTCACCAGGAGGGCCGGAAGGGCGCTGGCCAGGTAGATCCACCAAGGGTTCTTCCCGAAGGGGAAGACGAACCATCCTCGGTCCACGCGGGTGGGCTGGAAGCACAGGTCGGCAGGGGTCACCCGCAGCCCCGCCAGGGGCCTGCTCGAGGCGCGCGCGCGGAGGGCTTTCTCTGTCCCTGCGTGTGCCTGTCCTGCCCGTCAGGGGACTCGCTTCCTTCTGGCGCTGATGGCACAAGCACTAGCATCTGCGTGTCCTGCTGAACAAAGGGGGGGTTCCCACACCAGAGGGGCAGGGGGCCCGTTTGCAGCCCAGGAGGTCCAGGGCAGGTGTGCTGCACATCCCAGGATGTGTGAAATAAATCAGAAGGTAAGGAAACCTGGGATGGATGGAGCAGCCCGGCTGGGGAGGTGTCTAGGGGCTCGTGTGGGCCAGGAGCGGACTGGCGGGGGCGCCACCTTTGGGTAACCGAGTGCATGCGAGGGGTGCACCTTGGGGCTATGGACCCCTGATGCCATCATCGCTTTAGTTACCTTGAAATCTGTAGGCACTTGCAATTTTGGAGTATTCAGTCCAAACAAAACATCAAGACCAACAAACATTAGTATGGACATGAAGATAGAGAAGTCACTAATAAGCTTACGGAGCTAGAAAGAGGAGAGAGAACACAGAAAAGAGAAAGAGAGCAGAAAGTGGCTGTGTTAGAGCACTACCTGGAGCATGGCCCACGAAGGCTTCGACCTGAGGAGCTTAAGGTCCCCTGGGAGGGGCCCGCCACCCTCGTGAGCCCAGCGCCAGGGATCTGGACCGCTCGGTGCCCACGAGAGCCCCCTGGGGGGGCCACCACCTCATCCCTGCTTCTTTCCCAGGTGGGCAGCCTTGCAGCAGGACAGCCCCTGCCAGCAGCTCAGGCTTCAGGCTGCTGCCACGAGACTGCCCCATTCCAAGATGCAGGAGGGGGCCACCCACCCACGGGGACTCCCCCGGAGCCTCCCTGCTTTCCTTTGGGGGACAGCTGGCCCCAAGCCCCACCTTCTGGAGGGTCTCTTGCTGTTCTCCCCACCCACAGCTGTGAGAGGATGGGTGATGCAGCTGCTGAGGCTTCCGGCACGGGTGAACTTGTCTGAGCTTGCACATCGCCCGGCGGAGGCGACACGTCCTGCGCAAAGCCGGGGGTTCAGCCAGCTCTGGGAGGTGGCTGAGCCGCCCTTCCGCAGCCAGGCCTTCTTCCCCCAGCTGCGAGAGGCAGGGAACCCCTTGCTTCCCTCGGGAGCAAAGACACCCCTGGATGGCCCCCACCTGAAGCAGGTTTCTCCCCCCGCAGCCGAGGGAGGGGAGTGGAGAGGGGGCTGACAGGGCTGTCGTGAACTGCGCTGGCGCCTTGCCAGCCGGAAGGACTGGGCTGGAGCTGCTGCCGGTCCTGCTGTCGTTAACAGGGAGGCCCCAGCCGCCTCCTGCCCAGCCCACTTCTGGCAAAATCCATTTCGCGGGGCCTGAAAGCCATGAGCTGCAGCCAGCACCACAAGGTGCTGAACTCTGGAGCCGGAGAGCCTCCAACCGCGGCCCGGCCCTTTGCACCCTGCATCGGTTCTCTGCCCTCTGTTCTTGCACTTCTATACCACCAAGGCACATGAGAGAAACAGATGCTATCAGGAGAAGCATGAAAAGGGGTGGAGCAGAGGAATGTTAGAGGGAAAGAGCAGGTCAAAACCCACAAAGGCATCCAAACCTTAATTATACTGGGCACATGCAACTTGGGAGTATCCAGTCCAAAACAGGCATCTATTCCACAGAAGAAGAGGATGGAGAAGACAATGGAAAAATCAGCAATCAGGGCCCTGACCTAGAAGCACACGGGGTTGGAAAGAAAAGGCGTGTTCAGCGGAGGGCTGCGTCCGGATCAAGCGTGCCGTCTCCGCAGAGGGAGGGTCTCTTGGGAAGGGGCCCTGTGAGCAAAGTGCGCCACACGTGGGGGCTGTGCTGGGTTCCGTGTTGCTTCGCTGGAGCATTCCTTGGCCGCTTACCTTTGTTGGAAAGTAGCGACTGAATTTGAACTTTTTCAGAGTCAGTGTCATGGAGTATGTCCCAAAGAAGAGAATGAAAGACATGAGGGCCAGATCGGGGACGAATTTGCAGGATTTCCCCACCAAGCTTCCGCCATACTTCAGGCATTCCTTTTTGCTCAGCTGAGTCCAGTCCAAGGCTGTTACATTAATAGGGTTATACTTGAAAGGTAGAAAAAGAAAATAAACCATAATATTATTAGGATGCTGGGGAATAACACAGAAAAGCCGCTAATATCTAAAATGCAACAGACAGGCGCCTGCCAGTCAAGGCCCGCTCTTAAAGCCTTCGAGTGAAGATGCGTGCCTTGCCTATTAAACTTGGCATAATTACAGACGGAAATGCAAACACAGATTTGCAAAGGCATTCACATTTTTTTTTTGAGGCTTATCCAAAGTAATATTTACATCCCCTTCAGTCGGTCCGATCCAGTTGGAATCATTTTGTAGGATATGATTGAACTGATAATTTAACAATGGCTTTTCACACTCAGCCCTTGGGCAACTTGCGGTGAGCTCCCTCATTCAACAATTCCTAAATATGGGCCAGACGAAACTCTGCAGACACCCGCCAGGTGGCAGCAGATGCCACCGTTCCGTGAGGATGCTGGAAGCCTCGGTTCCTTGCCTTTTCTTGGGACCAGCCGGACCACGCTCCACGGCACTTGCTCGCAGAAAAACGCTTGCAGGTTTCCCCGGGATGAGTGCTCGCCTGAGGCAGCCTGGAGTGCCTGGGACGGCGTGGCCTTTGCCAGGGCAACTTCCGGGCTCATGCCAAGTTCTCAGCCAGATGCTGGCCCTGGCCAAAATCAGCGGTGCAGATGGAGCACTCAAGTAGAGTTTCCTCTTGGATTTGGCAAGTCGGGGTTGTACCTACGGTTCTACTTCTGGCTAGCCAAGACCGGCTGAGAAGTGGCTGGAATCCCTCTCTGGAATCCCTCTCTGGAATCCCTCTCTGGGTCTGATCAGGCATGGCAGGAACTCAGAGGCAGCCCCAGTGCAACGGCATGTGTTACTGGAGTACCCTTGGGCTGGGTACAACATCCACCATGAACCCTTTGTCTGGTGCACCTGCAGCTGGAGTCTTGTGCTCAGTTCTGGGCCCCTCATTACAAGAGGGAGACAGCAAGGTTGGGATCAGTGCAGCGGAGGGCCACTAGGAGGGTGGCTGGTTTGCAGGGAAGCCATATGAGGAGAGATGGAGGGAGCTCGGTCTCTTCAGCCTGGAGAGGAGACTCAGAGGGGACCTGTTAGTGACACACAGGTACGTGAGGGGGTGCCACGCAGAGGTGGGTCACAGCCTTTTTCCCCCTGCAGTGGAGGGCAGGATATGTTCCAATGGAGCAAAGTTCCGGGAACCAAGATTCAGTTTGGATGCCAGGAACTCTTCTATGATTCTAAGCATTTCCTGACAGTCAGGACCCCAAGGGTGTGGAATGGGCTTCCACGGGAGGTGGCTGAGGCCCCATCGGTGGGGGTGTTCAAGGACAGGCTGGACATGCACATGGTGGGCACGTCGTGAACGCAGCCGGCTGGAGCCAGGGGTCAGACTAGATGGCCCGGGAGACCCCTTCTGACTCGTGCTGTTTCTATGTTCCTATGTTCACTGGGGAGGGCAGTGGGGCTGGGGGAGGGAGAAAAAGGCAAAGTTCTGGCTACTTACCACAGAAATGTTAGTGTTGTTTGGTGCCAGCGGAGCTGAAGCATTGAACAATGTTGTATTCACTGCAGAAAAGGAGTTTGTTATGGTTTAAAAATACATTAAGGTCTAGTAGGCAAAATACAGGATTTTTCTGAAGGCACCATCGTGCACGATTTTGAACAACGGCCCTTTGAGGGGCACAAGGCAGCCAGCGCGGGCAAGCCAGCATTTACACTGCTTTCAGCACAATCTGATCACTGGGAGGTAATTGGCCCGTGCCATTTTCCAAAACCCCAATTCAATTTGGGGATGCAAGATAATCAGCGTAAGGATGACAGCTCCCTCAGTCAGGGTAATGCCGGTGCACCCTCGCCCCGGCATGGAGGAAGCTGGAAAGCTGGAGTCCACAGCCCTGGTTCTACCTCCAGCAGAAACTTCTTCCTTATTAACATCACGTGTGGGCCGCCAAATGGGCTGTGGCAACGGGGAGAGGCCAGCTTCCAAGCCCCGCCTCCGACCTCTGGGAGAAGCCCACTTTGTCGATGGCGCACCTGGTCGGGCACAGGTGGAGCGGGGCCGGCAGGCTCTCCAGCCTGTGAGTGGACTGCCTTCTCCTCCTGGAAGAGGCAGTGGTGGGCCTTCATCGCACTCCTCATCTTTCTTTTCAGACAGACCCCTGAGCTATCAATAGGAGACTGTGCAAAGTTATAAAGCCACGTCCAACTGAGAGCTCATGTGCCGTGGTACTTACAGTGTCGGAGTAGGGACTAGGGCACCCACAGTAAAAACCCCACGCAACTGTGAAGCTCACGAGATGCCCTTGGGCAATCCGCCATCTACTTGAGGGGTTCTTGTAAGGACAAAGTGGGTGGACAAGCTCCTTAGAGCCCACCCCCTGTTCCTTCTCCCCCAGATTCTCCAAGGTGGGTTTTTTCTGGTTAGTAGCAAGACTATTCTTTGCTCATTTACTCTTTGCATCAAAAGCATCGCCTTTCAGACTGGGAAGATCACAGTTCAAAACACATGAGGTGCCCATCCAGTACAGAGAAGCTTTCCTGGGGTGGCAGAAGGAGGGAGCACCACCTCCCCCCCACGGCTCATTCATAATACAGGCTGGTCATTTGCTTTTTTACAAGCAATGCTTTTTCACTTGGTTGCCTTCTTTGGGAAGTCTTTTGGGTTTGGGAATTACTAGCCAAAGCCCACACGATAGGGAAAAGCCGCATCTCCAGTCAAACCATCAATCCCTGTGCTCAGCAAAGGGCATCTTCTCTAGAATGTATTTATTTATGTGTTTGTTTATATATTGTTTCATTCCTACCCCACCTGCAGCTGAGGCTCTCTGGAAGTAGTTCTCCTCCTGCCTTCTTGGATCCTCACAGCAGCAAAGAGCATCCCATCTCCCTTCCAGCCACCTTTTCGAGAAGAAAATAGCCGGAGAGAGCAAGGAGGCCCTTGCAGGGAGTTCTGGGGAACCCCAAGCTCCAGCATTGGAGCTAAATGACCCGACATCGCTGTTCCAGAGGGTTACTCCCGAGGGTCTCAGAGGAGCTGCCTCTGCACTCGGCTAAGCCAAAGCCAGGGCCAGGAAATCCTGGAGGCCTGAGGGGTCCTGGAAGGAGCTGCAGCAGCTCGTTCTGCAGGAGGACCGTGTGTCTTCCAGCTTTCCTCCACGTTACGGAACGACCGCGGTGGCCGGCAGAGAAGCTGGGCCTGAAAACACCTCACCAGGCTGAACACAGCCATGTACAGGGGCTATTTTACAGCACTTGCCGGTTGGGTCTGCTGTTGCACAATCGTGCCAGTTATTTTGCAGAGGAGACGCTTCTTCAAGGATTTTTCCCAGTGGTGTACCACTTTAGAAGAATTGATGAAGAAACAATTGCTGGATTAGAATCAGAGTTTTTTGCTTGCTTGCTTTTGGGGCGCTGGAATCCACTTTGCACTGCTGAGGAAACCAAAGCCAAACCGAGCAAACAGAGACGTTGCCCACTAGCCCTTCCAGGCCTCGTTACAGGGCTGTGACAACGTTTTTCTCCACAACCACCTGATTTTCCAGGACCAGACATTTTGTGACTTTGAATAGCAGTAGAAGTGCTCACACTAAAAAAGTCGGCAGCATTGACTGAGCGAGTTTCTGGTTTGTTAAAAAAAAGTTTGGAATGAGAAGGCCCATTAAATGCTTGAGGTAGGCTGTGTAGAGATAAAAGTAATAACAAAAAGCAAAAGAAGTACGAGTATCAAATATTAAATAGTTTTAATATTTATAAAATGATACTCACTTGAGATTGAAAGCAGCCAAATAGTTGTGTGCAGCAGAGACAAATGGTACAAATCAGTTACAGTAATAAGAAGGCATAACTAGCACACACACAAAAATAATGTAGAGGACCAAAATGTGACGATAACACATACTCTCAGTCTAAAGAGGAGAGAGAAGTGGGCATCTGATACCCTCTTGGATACCAGGAGTGGACAGCTGAAACAGCAAACTTAACGTGGCCGTCCCCAGACGACCGCGAGCAGAATGGCAGCAACGGCGTCCTAACCACCACGTGTGGGATGCCAGGGAGCCGCCATGCCAAATCTCCCGCTCACAAGCGGATTGGCATGGATCCAGTGCCAGTTCTGGGGGTCCGGCAGGCAGCATGAATGAGACCGTACGGTTCAGGCAAATTAATTTCCCTTTCCTCTAAGCGCTGCATTGGGCCCATCCTTCTAGGCCATCTGGAGGTGGATCGGGCTCGTCCCAGCCAATGAGGGCAGCAGGTGCTCACAGGCGCCGTCGGCACATCAGCACCCCGGTGCCAGGAGTGCGGGGCCGTGATCCGCATTGGCATGCCTCGGCTCGGACGGGACCAGAGGCCTCTGCTGCGACCGCGGCCCCGCAGTGCACACGAGCGGCCCGGGGATGCGCCGGCTGCCACGCTCGCTTCAGCTGTGGCCTCGCTCACACTGCCCATGTGGACTGGGCAAGGCAGTGAGGACAGGAGCAGGAGCTGTCCTTCAAGGGGACCCCTCCCCCCCCCCCGGGGTCAGTCCTTAGCTCATCCTGGCGCTAAGTGACAGGCGTTTCGTTAAGCTCCCAAAATAGCTGGCTTTAATTGTGGCTCCTCTGCTGCTCTTTGCATCTCTATTGCCATGATTCTTGTGTTTTACTGTCTTGCTTCAATTGTATGGCGCCAAGAGCGTTCATGCCGCAGCAGCCAACAACTGAGTGATGCAGCAACGACCTTCTGCCACGCAGAGTTGCCCTCAAAGAAAAATGCACCTCGTCTCGTAATGGGGCACCGGAAGGAGCGAGTTTGGTCTCGCGTCCCCGACCCGGATGGCTTCGCCACCAGAACGCGCCTCCTTCGCAACCACCATGCCAAGCGACGCCACTGAACAGAGGCTCCTTCCAGACGCTGGTCCGGCAGGGGGACACGGCCAGGCTGCAGAACGGCCCGCGTCCACTCGGCTCGCGGTGGAGGGTCAGGAAAGGGCCGGGGCGAGGGACCGAAATCCCCAGCACCGCTGGCGCCCCGTGCCGTGACGGGCCGGTGCCATTTCTGCCACCGAACGGTCACCAGCTGCTGCTCGCAGGCGGCTGTTCCTGTTCCTAACGGGAAATCCGAGGGAAACGGGGGGGGGGGGGGGGGAAGCCGGGGGGGGCCGGGGGGGGGGGGGGCGGGAAGCACGGAGGGGCCGCTCGCTGGGGGTTCCGGCAAGGTCTCCCTGGGAGAATGCGGGTTCTCCGCCTGGGACGTGCCCACGCCTCCCTGGCCAACGCCCGCCCTGGACACCATGGCTGGGGCTGATGGGACTGGGTGGAGGGCAGCCGGTCTTGCCTGGGGCGGCCTCCTTGCCAGGCGGTGGCCAGGACCACCGGACCCCAGTGGCGGAAAGCCCTGAGCACCAGGGTGGCGTAGTGGTTAGAGCGAGGGACTGGGGCTCGGGCGATCCGGGTCCGGGTCCCGCTCGGCCATGGGGCCCGCCGGGTGACTCTGGGCCAGGCACAGACGCTCAGCCCAGCCTGCCTCGCAGGGTGGTTGTTGTGGGGACAAGATGGAGGAGGAGAATGAGGCAAGCTGCCTTGAGCCCTTGGTAGGAAGAAGGCAGGGTATGAATCGGAAAATAAATAAAATAAAATAAATAAAACCAGCCGTGGGTGGTTATTTTCCCACCACACTGTGTGGCAGGCAGGTGGGGGCAGATGGATATAACTACCCTTCTTGTGGGGTTTGAGCAGCGGGTCAAAAGCTACTGAGGTTTTATTCCCCTCTGTTGAATAAATAAAATAAATAAATTTTTTATATTTAACAAATTTTAAATTGTATTTATTTTAAAATCAATATATTTTATGTGTTTAACACATTTTAAATTTTATTTTAAAATACATAAATTTTATGTATTTAACACATTTTAAATTTTATTTATTTTAAAATAAAGTTTATTTACTAAATAAAATCAAATGTTACATATTTAACACATTTTAAATAGCTTAAAATAAATAAATTTTAGTTATTTATTAAATAAAATCAATATATTTTATGTTTTTAACACATTTTAAATTTTATTTTAAAATACATAAGTTTTATGCATTTAACATTTTAAATTTTATTTATTTTAAAATAAAGTTTATTTACTAAATAAAATCAAATGTTATGTATTTAACACATTTTAAATAGCTTAAAATAAATAAATTTTAGTTATTTATTAAATAAAATCAATAAATGTTATGTTTTTAACACATTTTAAATTTTATTTTAAAATACATAAGTTTTATGTGTTTGACACATTTTAAATATCTTAAATAAATTTCAGTTATTTATTAAATAAAATCAATACATTGCATGTATTTAACAAATTTCAAATTTTATCTTAAAATCAGTAAATTCTCTGTACTTAGCCAAGTTTAACTTTTATTTCTTTTCCAAGACAGGCGTTTTCGTCCTTTCCGAAGGAGCTG